TTAACAACTTTTGCAAGGTCTCCCTATCGTTCCGGCCAACATTAACGTTTTTTATTTCTTATATATATATGCAATGTAATTATTAGCGTGATATGCATATAAACGCAAGAAATATGGAGGGTTAGTTGGTTAGGAGTAGATAGGTTGTATCAGAGAAATGGTCCGTGAAGTAAAGACTTGACCACGAGATTTACCCGGCACACAAGCCGAACAGTGATAAGGAATTCTGCGGCGGTAAGTCAGCTTCCCATTAAGCTTGAGAATCCAGATTTTGTTGGTGCGTTCAGTTAGGCTGGAGTATTCCTAAAATCGAAGACTTGAAACAAAGTGAAATCACGGAACAAGGGTGATAAGAGACGGGTCCTACTGAGCAAGAGGGAGGCTGATAGGACCTGGATGAAGAGGCTTGCAGACTAAAAGACCAAACTTGGATTAACACTCCCAGCACAGTGGGGTGATGACGGAATCAGCGTGGAATTTTAATAGGTCTCACTTAATTCGCCCAAAATAACACATCTGGGCTATGGTTAAATAAGCAAGTAAGACATGGTGATGGTGAAGAGGTGATACAAACATATAAGATAGGTGTATGCACCAGGACCACAACTGCTCAGCTGGTGGTTGGTCAAAAAACGGATTTCACTTGTCTTGTTTACAAGTTGTAGTGGTAAAGCCCACTGATGATGCCGGCGAAACGTATGGGAGTGTGCCAAGCCCATGATCTGATGCTATACGTTATCATGGATGGTATGGGCTCCAGAAAAGTGCATTCCTATGGGTCTTCCTGACAATACGATCAATTATGGAAACAAGTTAAAATCACTTCTATACAGGGGAAGGAGACCTCGACCCTACTAAGGGCCACACCATCTTGGTCTTCACATCCTCGATTATTTACTTGTGTTCATTAATCATTATTATTATAGAATTAGGGTCTAATATATTGTTGTTTTATTGTTTCACTATTTCCTCCGCTTAATTCATCGATCAACTTTCGAGCCTAGTTGACGTGTCGGGCCTTCGCACTAGTCTAGCATATTTACTCAGGATTCTTTGATGATTGTATATTTACTACCGTTTCTTTTTTCATTGAATCGGGAATTCTCTTTCCTTGATTGTATAGCCTGATTCACCGCCAGTTATGCGCTCTTGCTACCCATCTATTCGTCATCGACACGACGGCATAATTGTGCGTGAGCGCGATAACGTCCTTGTTTGCAGCGGCCCGGATCGCAGCACTGCGCCCCATGTGGCAAAAGTCACGGCACTGTTTTCTGAACCATCTCGAAGTGAGCTTCTTTACTTTAGAATACTGTTGACCGGTCCCCATTTAACTAAATGATTTTAATAGTCAAATTATGCTTACATTTTAAGCCATTAGGGTGATTAGTCTCCACAAGGTAAAACACCATTGAGATACTTCTATTACCTTTTTGTTTATTTTGATCTTCGGCTTATCATACCTCATAGGTAGATATATATTCTCGATTACGCACAGAAACTCATAAAAATGGGATATCTACTATCTGCATACACACGAATGCCTTCTTTGATCAAATTTAATTTCTACTTTGTTTTCGCAACTTGGTCATATAGATAAGAAGACTTAAAAAACCGAACCTAGTCCGGATTCCATAGTATGCATGATTATTTCCAGAGTCGGACCATGGACGTGATACATTCCCAAACGTTTCGCCGGCATCGTAGTCGGTATCATCAGTGAGCCTTGACATTCTTATCACCACACCACAACTCGTCAAATAAAGAAGTGAATTTGGTCCTTTGATCAATTGTCTGCTAAACAATCGTGGTATCTCTCCTTCCCTGGGTTATCAATCCTCTATCCTCGTATCACCTTTTGATTATCACAATTTCTTAATTACTTATTTAAATGTGGTATTGCGTGTCATTTGGAGCGGATTTCATAAGAACTCTTCACATCCCACGCTGGCTTTCTCACTCTCACTCCGTAATCCTCTTTCCATAGGTCCTATTAGGGTCTCCCTCTTGCCTCGTGGGATTCGCCACCGACCTCCCTAGTTCAGATCTTTCAGTGGACCCCTGCCACCATTCCTGTACTACTCGAAGCATTATTTCCCACACTATCTCAAGCCTTTGATGGCGCGCATACTCCCACCTCGCTGAGTAGGCCCCTAAAATCAGGATTCTCAAGCTGGATGGGTAACTAAATTGAGGCTAAAGAGCCCAAGTAATTCTCATGGTCAAACCCTTGCTTCATGGACCACGTCTACTGTTAACCAACTAGCTCTATTCTCCCGCTTCTCGTGCTTCTATCCATAGTGCCAAGTTTATCACTTATTATACACTGGTCTCGTGTGAAAACCCACAAGTGTTGCGCTTCTACATTGAACCTGACCAAAACAAGTGGAACCACAACATTTGTGGGTTGGCATACAAGAGGCAAGGGGCAAACCATGCCACATTCACATACGAGGATGTAGGATTGGTGAATAGCCCAGGGCAGAGAGATATCACAACTTTTAGCAGACAATTGATCAAAGGATCGGCTTCACTTGTCTCTGACGCGTTGTGCTGTGGTGCTAAGACCGGCAAGGCTCACGACGAGTGTACCGCGTCCGCAGTCCAACTGTGGAAATTATTATGCATACTATGGACTCCTGACTGGGTGCCTTTCTCTAGCTCTTCCTACTAATATGACCAAGTTGCGAAAACAAGGTCAAACAAATTCTATACAGCGAAAGCAGACTGCAATTATACAACCAGACCTTCGATTTACTTTCTATCCTTTAGATTTGCATGATCCTTGATGAACGTCAGTTATCTAAATTTTTTGCTAGAATCAAATCCTATTGATC